TTATGGGCTTCCTGTGGGGTCGGCCTTTTTATCCGATTTGTTTTTGATAAACTCCAATATACTTGTTTTCTTTGCCCCTGCTTTTCATAGCTCATTTACAGTCTGCAATACAGCCTTGTCGAGCGAGATACACTTAGACGAGTGTCCCTTGAGCGAAAACTCGCTCAATCTGTGATTGCGCTCGAAATGACATCTAGTTATCACAAGTGCGAACGTGTCGTTGACCTTGTCATCCACTCGGACGCAAACATTCATCTTCATGAAAAGTGACAGCATAGCACGAAGTCATGGTCAACAGAGTCATGGATCGCACAGAAACCCGACTGTTCAAGACCGTAGCTGACTGAGCGCGATTAACCCCGACCATATCCAGACTGAACCCGATCAAGCTCGACCCAGCCCAATTAAGCTGGTAAAGGGCTGCGGACAGTCACGTCAAAAAAGGCAATTCGTACCTATGTTGTGGATCCCTGGAAGCAACTCTTTTGTCGAGGCCGTTTACTTGTAGCCTTGGATCGAGATAACCCATGGTGCGTGCAGACATAAGTCTTGGCATGCCAGATCCACTCGACGGGAGTTAGAGACGCTTTTGAGCTTGCTTCGCGATTTGTTCGCTCAGCCATCGCGGGATTTTTTGGGGGGGACTGAAAAATATGACAAGCATGAAGATTCTCTAGCACATTGTAAAGATAATAAATATGTAATGAAGAACACGAAATCATACTTGAAAGGACTGTGCCTGATGTGATGTTAGGTAGAGATCGAATGCTTCCTATGACTGGAGTCTCTCCCAGCGGTGGGGCGATGCCTCTAACCTTTGCAGCCTCTTCACCGGTACGAGTCGCTGTCCCTGTCGTCACGAGACGGGTCTCACTTCGCAGTGGGCTGGGCGACGTCTGTCACTCATACGTGGGGTCATCGGATACATGACTGTCGACGTCGTCAAAGAGTATCGTGAGTTCCAAAACGGCCGATTGGGTTTTGCTCCGAGTTTCGTTTATAATTTGTAGTATTCCCACCTTAAGTACGATTTCTCGTTCTTCCTTTTAACTCTTAAAATAATGGTATATGTGTATCAAAACGTTTTTTTGTTTTATAAATATAATTAATCTAATTGGGCCTTGAAAGTGGTGCACATAAAATGGAACAACCACTTCACTAATTATTTGTCCGTAACACGCATGGAGGAATCTGCTGTGGACGCCCGCCCGCGTCGCGGCGCCTCTCGCTCTGCACGATCAGCTAAACCTTTGAGACGTGGGCTCTCCAATCCCTCGCATGATGCTGGATCATCAGCAGATGAGGAAGAAGAGGAGGAAGAAGAAGAGGAAGAAGAAATTGAAGAAGAAGAGGACGAACCTGTTGACGAGGCTGACGAGGCGGAGCTGGACGCCATCGATGCCGCGTATCGCATCTCACCTACTGCTCGTGAGCTGCACACGCTCGATCAGGGAACACTCGTGCGTATCCTAAAGACGCCCGACGTAGAACAGCGTGTGCCCCACACGATGTACAAGGTGGGCGTGGTGGAGGAGGTCCCACTGCACCCCAACACGTGGTTCAAAGTGCGTATCCGAGACGGAGATGTAGTCTACAAGTACAGACCATCCGCGCTCGAGGTGCTAGAAGAAGGAGACGACGTCGGCAGTCCTGGGGGCTCACCAATGGTACACCAGGAAGAGACAAGTCATTTGAACGACGCAGAAGATGAAGCGGAAGAAGAACAGAAAGAAGAGAATCAAGATGGACGTCTACAACCGGGAACTAGAGTCGCCGTGAAGCTGAGTGCTCTGAATGCCGCAGAGAAGCGCTATCTGAAGAACCATGACGGTAAGGAGGGCGTCGTCACGGGACATGAGAAGAAGAAAGTCAGTGTGCAGCTGGATGGAGACGAAGATGTCATTATAACGCTGCGTCAGAAGCACTTGGTGGAAGTTCAAGACGAACAAGAAGACGAGGAGGAAGGGGAAGACGAGCAAGTTGAGGAAGAGAAGAAGCCTGTAGTGACGTATAAAAAGCGACGAGGCAAAGGAAAGCTACTTTCCACTCTGGACCCGGATATGTGGATCGACCGCAAGTGCCGCATCAATGTCGGCAAGTTCAAGGGCCAACACGGCCGCGTGCTGCGCTCGGGGAACGGCTGGGTGCAGCTGAAGCTCGAGAACTCGAGCGAGAACACAGCCAAGCGTGCGTACGAGCTCACTCTTCTCGAGGACATGGAGACCATTAAGAAGCTGCATGCCAAAAGTCTCGAGAAGGAGAGAAAACGTCGCGCTGAGAGCCGAGCCAACGGGACGAACGCCGGAGACGACGGAGACGACGAAGATGACGAAGACGAAGCCAATCAGAGCGGGACGGACGACCTGCTGACTGCTGAGCAGAGTGACGATTCACAGGGAGAAGACAACGGCACACGTTCGCGTCGTGTGTCGACTCGTGGGAACTACGGCATCTCGTGGATTGAGAAGAAGGTGAATTTGCCGAACCGCAAGGGCTTTGGTATCGTCAAGAAGGCAGATCGAGATACTTGCACGGTGGAGATCCAGACCACCAAGGTGATGCAAGTGTTCAAGAAGAAAGATCTCCAGCTTGCAGGTGACAGCCACGCGAAAACGGCTCGTCAGAACAGCCGCAATCGCAATAATGCCAAGGCTCGCGAGAAACTTGGGCTTGGAGAGGACGTGGTGTTGATGGGCACGACTCCGTCACGTTATATTGCGTTCCAAGACCTCGTCAAGAAGTTTGCAATGCGTCGACGTGAAAAACTCAAGAAGCGCCCGAACCTAATCGAGTGGGAAGCGCGACTGAATTTGAACTACTTGGAGAATGGATTCTGGGACAAAAGCGATCCGTCCGTAATTGATATCGTCGTGGTTCCTCAGTGCGAGATTTGCGGCGTGGAGAAAGAGGTAGGATGGGAGTGTTGTGCTGTTTGATTGGCGGTGTAGTTAATACGCTGTGGTTATTATATTCTCGTTTTTCAGGAGGTGGAAGGTCACTGCTGGAACGATGAATGTCCGAGATGTCCTGCTTTCGATGTGGATTCCTTTGACCCGAAGGACGAAAACGCTCTGATGCGAGTGCCATTCGCACCGTTCACCAACAACAGCATTACCACTGCGTTGTGTCTCCAGAAGGACGACATGTCACGAAAGCGCAAGCGTCAATCGCTGGATACTACAAGCGCGGAACAATTGACCTCGCCTACGGACGCCAAGAATGCCAAGAGCGAAGCTGCCAAGGCGAAGAAGACTCCCCAGCTCTAAATAAGCCAAGCATATTTCATATTCTGAAAAATTCTTTTTTCAGTTTTGTGTCTTGTGAATACATGTATAATTGATGTACCCCTTGAGCTCTTATCCCCGAATCAAGCTTCGAATCGGCCATGAAGACAAAGTTGAACTTGTGGTCGAGTTGATACGTACGACTGCAACTCAAAATTAGATCCATTTGAGCTTGGACTCATGGCGTCGAAGCACAGGTCATCGCACTCTGAGGGCAAGCTTGGACTCCCGCCAGTCAAACGGCCGCCCATGATCAAGCGCAAAAGCAGTAGTCTCAGCGTCTTGGACATCAGCGGCGGGGCTGTAAAGGTTGCAGAGCAGAATGCAGATCTCCCACGGCTTCACCGCAATACCGGCAGCTTGCAGGAAATGGCACCAACTCACCCTTCCACACAACAAACCAGTCTCCAAGTAAAACGCGGAGACAAGAAGAAGAAACCAAAGAATGGATGGCCCTCTGAAACCGGAGACTCGCTGCCTATGGTAACTAAAATCTCGGATTCGCAAGGAGAAGGCAAACCTGCATTGTCAAAAGATAAGCGTGCACGCACACGACGTCGCCATGCGGGTGACATCGTCCTTACTCGTCCGGCTACCATTGCCGTTGTGGTGAAATATCAGCGTAAGTTGAAGCGTTAAACTCTTTAGAATTGAATCTTCTAACTTTTGTTGTGCACTCCAGTGGGACAGCACGAGCTGAAGAAATTCAAAACATGTTTCAGACAGATCGATCTCGAGTACGTTCGTCCTTCTTACAGCATAGGAATAACACCATCCTGATAAGCTTTTATTAACTGGCAGTGCGAGTGGAGTGATCGACTACGACGAGTTTTTCAACTTTATCGACGAAACCAAGACGCCGTTCTCGGAAGGCCTGTTCCGCATGATAGATTCAGATAGCAACGGAACGGTGAGCATGGATATGTTGGCTTGTGCTTGTTGCTCCTGGCTGAACATTTCTTCCTTTTATGTAGATTGATTTTGAAGAGTTTGTCCATGCTACCGTGTTGTACTGCATGTATACACGCGACGAGATCCTTCGCTGTAAGTCTGTCAGTCGAGAACACATGAATTCTGTTTGCCGTTTTGACTCAGCACTCTTCCTGCAGTCGCGTTCGATACGTTCGACCCCGCTGCGTCGGGCTCCATTGGCGACAAGGAGCTTCGACGTCTCGTCAGTATAGTGAACGACGGCCAGTCAAGATTTTCGGGCAACATCAACACGGCTCTGACCGAGTTTGACCGAAACAAAGACGGCGTCATTGACTTCGAAGAGTTCAAGAACTTGAACAAGCGCTTCCCGATGCTCTTGTTCCCTTGCTTTCGTCTGCAGGATCGCATGCAGAAAGCCACACTCGGCGACAACCACTGGCTCCAGCTGCACAAGCGTCTGTACGAGCGACTCAAGAGCGAGAATTATCAGGTATGGGCTCACCCCATTAGCTATTATCCTCTATTCCGGATCGTGTTTACTGACAATATATCCGTAGCGAAAACACAACGGCGCGCTTCCAGGTCTCACTCTTGTCGGTGCGATCGTTAAGTTTCTTCGACTGGATAACCGCGATATCTATCAACCTTAACAGTCGCGACTAGTTTGAAGACGACATGTGAATGAGATCAAGCGGGTAGATCGGCTTGCCTGACGCTACATGGTTAAAATAAGTGACGGGTTCAGATCCACGGAGCGGCAAAGACGACACCTGATCAGCACGACACCACGTGGCTCCGGCACTTTCGTAGTCTGGAATGGACTTGGGCGGTTGGTCGCGATCTATCGGCTCGGCGTAGAAGATGAAGCGCATTCGCACGTACTCGCTACCATTTCGGTCTTTCTTAGGATGGTACTCGAGCTTCAACACACCCGTAAGGCGGATGTCGATGCCAGCCTCTTCTTTCGTCTCTCGGATCGCTGCCTCTGCCGGGTTCTCGCCACTATCGATACGTCCGCCCGGTAACCAGAAGCCAGAGTTGGCGAACTCTTGGACGAGCAGGAAGCTATTGTACTTTTTGTTATGACACACGACAAGTGCGAACGAGTAGAGTGTTGTGTCGGCCATGTGGAACTCGCTCGTCATCTCGTGTCGTCCAGGGGGCCCGTGTGCATTGTGCATATGGACCTGGAACGGTCCTCTCGGGATCTCTCGACAAATGGGACAATTGATTCCGTCCGTGTTCTTTTCGTTGATATGGTACATAGGACAATGTCGCCAGAGCTGGTCTTCATCCATGCCGTTCTTCCCGCAGAACGGACACGTGAAGCCGTCGCGCCCGCCAGATCTACCTCTGGGCTTCCTTCTCGAGTGGGAATCGTAGCCATGTTCCTGTCCGATAAAGGCCAGTACATCTCTTACTGCGCCCAAAGAGTCTGTGACCATGGATGCTCCTTCTTGAAAGCACTGATAGCGACCCATGGGGTGCTCTACAAGCTGCGGACTGAAGACACAGAGGAAGATCTGCTTACTGATGGTGCGGATCGTACGTAATAGCGGATACAGACGGCGCTCCGAGAGTCCTGACGCTCGGAATAGTACCACGTCGAAGGGGGCAGAAGGTGTGTAGACCGAGGCTGCGTGTGCGCGCATGGGAGGCGCCTGCTGGTAAGAGAAGCGGCTGTCGTTGCTGGCGCTAGAGCGCGCATGCGTCTGCATAAGCTGGTGCATGACGTCCTGCTCGTCATTCACCGCCAGCTCCGTGATGAACCCTTCGTGGCAACAGGCTTGTACACACGCATTGTCCAGACTGTCCAGAGGCACGTCGTGGCTTGACACATTGCGGATGACCAGAGCTCGCTTCATGTTGTTGCAATTGTGGGAGTTTAAAAACGACATGATAAAACACTTATAATTTATGAAATATAAACAAATAATGCTCATAGTTCACAAGATGCGAAACGACGCTGAAGTATTGAAGTAGCATACAAGCATGAACGAGGATGAACTGGACGAGCTGGAGGCCAAGGTACCGATAGAGAACATAAAACAATGAATGATGTCTAGTTAAAATAGTGCAGTGCTAACTCTTGCTGCTGTATGCAGCTGGACGACTTGACGCACCAAAACGATGTGCTTAGACAGGAGAATGAGCTGCTGGAGTCGTATTTGCATCGCAACGGACAGCCCACAACTGGCAGTGACGACGAAGAGAAAAATGCTGATAAAGACAAGAAGATCAGCGGGTCCAGACAGCGTCGTGTTCGTACGCAGGTGATGCTCACGATCGAGCAGAAGAACGACATCTGCAGTACGGAGCTGGAGGCAGCACAAAAGGAGCTCGAGGAGACCAAACGCTCGTCCGAACGGCTCATTGACACGCTACGTGCTGTCCTGGAAGAGACAGATATCCGCATTGCAGAACTCAAGAAGGACGCGTACGAGTTCAAACGCGACATTGTCGTGGGCGCTGAGAACTTCCGCACGGGTAAAACGATCGCTGAAAAGATGATCCGATACATGGAGGAGAAGCTGCGTCAGAAGGACGCCGTTGTCGAGAAACTTCGGCTTAAGAACGCAACACTTAAAAGTCAAGCCCAGAAGATCGACGCTCAGCTCCGTCACAAGGAAGAAATGGGTGACGCGTTGCATTACATCGACTTCCATCAACTTCAGATCGAGAACAAGCAGTACGTCGCTAAGATCGAGGAGCGTAACGAAGAGCTGCTGCGTCTTAAGCAGACGACTGGAAACACTGTCCAAGTACTGAATAATCTTAAGAAACGTCTGCACGAACTACTCGAAGAGAGCGCGTGGCTTCAAGGTGAGATCCGTACACGCACCGAACTGAACGAAAAGATCGTTGAAGAGATCGCGCTCGTGGAGGAGAAGAACCAGAAAGACATGAGACGTTTGCAGTCCTTACAGATCCAGCAGTCTGCAGAACCAAGCAAAGACATGCCCCAGATCCTGGACTACGTGGCTCAAAAGGCCAAAATGTATGAACTGCAGCAGGACCTCAAGAACTACGAGCGGAAGGTCGAGATCGCTGAGCGTGCCGCCAGGCTCAGTCGAGTCAAACGACTGCAAGAGCAACGCTAGTCGTAGACCTAAAAAAATAGCAAAAGAATTAAATTCTTTACTCGATAAGTACCGATAAATTTCGCCGAGCACAGGCAAAATAAATTTGTTCAAGGACTACTGATATCTGCTATTTTCCGTGCTTAATAAGTTTGGCAACCCGTCCACATTGGATCTTCAGAATGAGCACGTTGTCAGTGCCAACATGGTACTTTATTGTATTTATCGCACATACTAAATGAGGCTTTTAGAGGTTTTCCTACAATTATTGATCTCACTAACAGCTAAAAATTCATTCTTTCGGAAGGACTGATGACGCGAAGCCTGGAGAGCGTGTAGCTCGACTGTCTTTTACGCGACTCAAGATAATGATATTATAATACAGCGTTGCTAAACAACAGTAATAAATTGATCTCCGATTTGAAAACCTTAAGTACTAAGTTTGCGTTTAGTATTAACATTCTCTGTCCTCCTCTTTAGGGTCTTTTAGATTGTTTGCGTTTATCACTGGACACGAGCACTTTGAAGGTGCAGCGCAGTTTATCGTCCACGACTAACATGGCTCCAGCGTTGTCGAATTCATTGCAGTAATTTGGCGCCGAGAAAATGGTCACGAGTTTGCGACCGGCGAAGAATTCGTAGCCATCCGAGACGACCTGGTGCGCTCGACAGACAAGATCGAGCTCGTGTGTCTTCAAGAACTGGTCCACTACATCTGATCCGAAGATGTACGATACGCCTCGATCACTCTCGGTCCAACCCTGACTATCGGGGTCTGGGTCTGCCCAGAGCAGGTCACATAACAATCCTTCGTCGGGCACGTCCGTCGGACGGCGGATGTTTCTGATTTGGTCTAGTGTATACAAGTCAGGTGACAGACCTCCGTGCGTACAGAAAATCTATGTCACAGCGCTGTGAGAGAGCTTATAATGAGGATTTAATGGCTGGGAGTTCTCACCTTTCCTGCTACAACAGCTGAGATTGGCATGCAGTTGAAGCAGTCGCCGAATGTGCGCCAGACCTTGACAGAGTAGCGGCGTTTGCACTCGTCGTAGAACCCGTAAATTCGGTTTATTGAAGCGCATTCGTGGTTTCCTCTTAGCAAATAGAGCTGCTCCGGGTACTTGATTTTGTACGCGAAAAGCAGACAGATTGTCTCGATACTCTGCATGGCACGGTCGACGTAGTCCCCCAGAAAGATGTACCGTCGTTCATCTGGAAACCCTCCCATCTCAAACAACCGCAGTAGATCGGAATACTGGCCGTGTGTGTCGCCGCAGATATTGATTGGCGCTGGGACTTCTGCTAGCGGTGGTTGTTCCAGAAAAATCTGTATAGTTCAAAAGTTGGAATAATTGAGTTCTTGTTGACATGGAGGCTGCACTTACCGTGCGAGCTTTACGACACAGCAGTAGTACTTCGTCCGTTGTGATGTCTGTGACCTCGGTTTGTGTCGGCTTATCCTGCACACTGAGCAGCTTGCGGATGATGCCGTCCACGACCTGAATGCCTGGGTCCGCCATGTTAGCACTATCACGTCGTGGGTTCAAGCGATGAAAGCGCAACGACTGAGGTGTCAACTGGGCCAGGGCCGAGTTCGTGAAGCAGGCGCAACCGTCAACAAATACGCATCACAAGCTATTTTTTCGTAGCTTATTTTTGCTCTGTTAACAGCTGAAGTGTCTGGGCGTATACGCGTGTATAGTTGAAGTTTGTATACACAAGCAACGTTATAAGGCAGTCCTCAATTTCGTTTTTGACCTCCGCTTTCCAAATTATGAAGCGAGTTACCGTAGCTTCTACCTCTAGTCTAAGCGCTTGCACTCCAGCAAGAATGCAAGCTCTGCATCGTGTTTTGAACAATAAATTGAGGGAGCGTTTACAACTCACGAAAAACATTTAAACATTTAAAAGCAGCGATTGCAAGCCTCGTGTTTTATTGCCCGTTCATCGTACATGTATTACGTCATACCCAGCTTCTCGTTTGGCGCCTCCGATTCTTAGCTTTGTTCAAGCCAATTAGCCTCTACTGGAATAATACTTCACTGCTGATCGAATGTCACAGGGGTCCTCTGCGAGGTCCAAAGTAACGCGAAATGAGGTTGGAGGGGGGGCTCCCCAGGAACATCAACAAGGTTGGGCATGGTACATCACTGATGTAACATCAGACGTGTGTCAGGAATCACTTTGGCAGTACAGTAGCAACGCCAACGCGGCGAGCGATCCGCGTGCGTGTATCTTTGCTTTCGACACAAGTGCACCTTTTGAAATAATTACTGGACATGGGTCTTTAATCCACCTAATAAGGAAGCAGCAAAGTACCCGCAGCTGACAAACCGAGCATAGAAACCGATTGCTGCCGGTATACCGTTTCATAAATCTGCTAAATCAGACCGTAAATAGTGGCTCTTAAGTAGATTCAAGCTACATGTAAATTGTCCAGGATTTTCGATTATGGCTGCGATCTTGGTTCGAGAAAATCCGATTCTAGACGCAAGTCATTTCTTGATCCGCCGAGCCCATCAAAAGTCTTTGCGCCACTTGGCCCCACCTCCAGGATGAAGTTCGACGACAAGAAGGTGCTCAATGACACATGGACGCAGTTCCTGGCGCTGTGTCTGCTGCTCATGCTGGCTGTCGACTCGCTCAAGTACGTCCTGTGACAGCTTGAGAGGACTAAAGCAGTCTCCCTCTAACATATTCTCCCTTTATATGCAGCCCCATCAAGGCTGTAAGTAAGTTTCTAGGCGTTCCGTCGTATTACTGGGGCGCTCTGTCCGTGGGTATTATGCTAGGGCTGCTGTTCCACAACGCCGCCGACGTCATCTACCGTTCCACACGCGTCTTCCTCAACAGTATCCTCAGTATCTCATTTAAGAGTGTGGATCTCATCGGTCTGGATAACGTACCGACCGACGGGCCCGTCATCTTCACCGGTAACCACGCCAACCAGTTCGTAGACGGTCTTGTAGTCATGATGACTAGTCCTCGTAAAGTAGGCTTCATGATCGCAGAAAAGTCGTGGCATTTGCCTGTCGTGGGCCACTTGGCTCGTATCATGGGCTGCATCCCGGTGGTGCGTCCTCAGGACTCTGTAGCTTCTGGTGTTGGCAGCATGAAGCTCGCCAGTGAAGATCCCGTGACTGTAGCTAGCTCGTCCAGTGGTGGCGCTAGCAGTAGTACGCCTCAGTGGCTCGTGCAGGGCGACGGCACCAGTTTCACTAAGCAGGTGACGCCTGGAGACCAGATCCGCTTCCAAGGGCAGAGCGTCAAGGACTCGGGGTCGCCTGTGAAGATCGTACAGGTTCTAGACGACACGCAGTTGCTACTGAACGCGCCGTTGAAGAGCGGCGAAGGCAAATTAGTGCTTGAGAGTGCACCGTTTGGTATTCTCAAGCGTGTGGACCAATCCGTGACGTTTGCCAAGGTGTACACGCACTTGAAGCGTGGGAACTGCATCGGTATCTTCCCGGAAGGAGGCTCACACGACCGTACGGACTTGTTACCACTAAAAGCTGGTGTTGCCGTCATGGCTCTTGGAGTTAAGGACAAGTACAACATCAACGTGCCGGTGGTGCCTGTGGGCTTGAACTACTTCCGTGGCCATCGCTTCCGTGGCCGCGTGACGGTGGAATTCGGCACTCCGATCACTGTGGACCAAGCGTTGATGGCCAAGTACCAGGAAGACAAGCGTACAGCGTGTAACACGCTCTTACATCGTGTGGAGGAGAGTATGCGCTCCGTGATCGTGACTACGCCCAGCTACGGCGTCATGCAGGAGGTGTTGACTGCGCGTCGTCTCTTCCAGCGCTCTGGAGTGCGGCTGTCGGCAAAAGAGACACAAGACTTGAACCGCCGCTTTGCAGAAGGCTACAAGGTGTTGCAGGATGTGCCAGAAGCCCAAGAAGATCTCGTAATCTTGCAACATAAGCTGGATAACTACTACAAGACGCTGCAGAAGATGGGACTCAAGGACCATCAAGTGCCGTATATCCCGTGGTGGACAATTCACGACGTGTTGGGCTCCGCACTGTACGGCACGTTGATCCTTCTACTGTCCTCCATTCCGTCGTTCATCCTGAATGCACCGGTGGGGCTTCTAGCTCGTTATGTGGCGAATTCAGCGCAGAAGAAGGCGCTGGAAGGCTCCAAGGTCAAGGTGTTGGCTCGCGACGTTATTCTTAGCAAGAAGATCCAGTTCTCGATTGTAGCTGTGCCCGTGCTGTGGTTCATTTATTTTACGATCGCCGCGGTGTTCACGGATTGGTACTGGTCGTCAATCATGCTGCTGATGGTGTCGTTCCCGCTATTTTCTTTCTTCGGTGTACGCTCGGTAGAGGCTGGAATGATCGAGCTGAAGACGGTCCGTCCGTTGTTCTACCGTCTGCTACCGACGTACAAGGCTACACAGGATGAGCTTCCTCGGCAACGTGCTGAGTTGCAGAAGGAAGTGCGTGAGTTTGTGAAGAAATACTCGCAGTATCTGGGAAAACTGGCCGAGCCAAAGAAGCTCGACTGGAGCGAGTACATGCACGAGCGCTCGTTGGTATTGGCTGAGAAGACTGAGCAGGCCGAGTCGATCCCGTCGCCTCCTCCGGTACATGAGGAGGACGAGGAGCCGCGGGAAGGCGAGGCTGAAGATGATATCGGCTCTCCTGTGCCTACGATCACCAAGTTCCACGACATCAGTATCCTGGGCAAGTCGGAGAACTCGGTGCTGGACTTAGCAGGTCTCGAACGCTCCATGTCTTGCCCGCCAGGATACCAAGAGCTAGCGGAGGAGATAGCCAAGCAACGTAAAGGGTCCGTGTAGAAATGTTCAAGAAGAAAGTTATGTCGCTGCGACTGGTTACACGTATCTATGGTGCTCCCAACACGGCAATCATAAAAATTCATGAAGCGATACATATTCATTCACTGTTTATCTTGTCTAACTCATCAACACTAGACTTCATTTACTTGTGGAAGATGGAGCCGCGACGCAGAGCGTTCAGCGCTTCCTCGCGGTCTTTGTCGCTCAGCAGGTTGAGCACCTCGAGAATACCGGCCACGGCAGCCTTGGGGTCCTTCCGTCCGATCTCGACAACCTGCGACGCCATCTGCTCCTGACGCAGCTCAGCCACGCGCGACGCGATCCACTCCTTGTCACTCGACAGCCACAGCAACACGTCCGAGTCGCCGTGAGACCACAGCTCGGACACCGACACGTTCTGCTGACGCGGCACACGACCGCCGTTCACAGCCTCAGTGAACCAGCCCTTCAGCACCTGCTCCGAGCCCACGAATGTCGTGGCGCGCGGACCACCGGCGCTGGCTGCAACCACCTGGCGACGCAGCGTGAACTCAGCAAGCTGACGCTTGAGACGCCAGTAGAAGAACCTACGCGAGTTCGACCAGGGCACCACTTGACGAATGCAGCCCACGGACTTCATACGGCCAGGCGTGTCGTGCAGGTCGCCGAACTCCGTCGCCACCTGCACGTAGATGGGCAGGAGAGTTTCCTCGCGCGTCTTGATCTCAGCCGAAATTTTGGCGCCTTCAGTTGCCTTCTCCTCAGGCGACAGCTCACCCAGACGAGCTGTGAGCTGCTTTAGCTTGTCATCCAGACGGTGCATGGTCTGAAGAAGCTGCTTTTTGCGGTACTTGATCTCAATCAGACCGGCCGGCTCCAACACACCACCGCGGCCCTGCGGGTCGGCGTACATCTCCATGATACCCTCGTTGATGGTAGGGTCCACCACGGCCCAGGCGCCACCACGCAGCTCAGCGAACGGCGGGATGTACACGAACACGGGCTGCTCGTAGTTGACGAGACCGTCCACAATAGCAGCGCCGAACTTGAGCACCTCGTCGAACATGTCGCGCTGGCCACCGGAGAAACCACGCCAGTTGGCTAGGATGAAAAGCGGCAGGTCCTCGCCCTTGAAGTCCTTGATGGCAGTAGCCGTCTTGTGAGCCGAATCCGGGAACCACACCTGGCCAGCCTGCTGCATCAGGTTCTCCTGCGACGCCGGGGACGCCGGGTCAGCCGGGATCACCTTCTCGGACGTACGCACCTCCGTGACGACCACACCGCACGGAATGCCACCAAGACGACCACGTCCGACGATTACGCTCTTGGCCCAGCCGTCAAGCGTCTCGCGGAACGAGTCCTTGTCCATAAGACCGGACACCCACTTGCCCGTCGCCTCATCCACCTTACCCGCGAGCAACGCACGCGGATCGTACTGCGTACTCTTGTCTGCGGGGCAAAAGTCCACCGTACGTTCGATCTCATCCACGCCCGTGAGGTCGCGGATCGGAAGCGGACCGCGACGCACCGCCGGCACAAAGCTCAGCCACTCAAGGATAGAGTAAATGCCCGACAGGTGGTTCTTCGCCGTCAAGTGCGTCACACCGTTCGTGTGCATGATCTTCACACCACCAAGCTGGTCGTTCGAGGTGTACACATCCTTACCCATAAGCTTGTTCAGAGCCTGGTAGCCCGTCAGGATGATCGGAGAGTGCGTGGCGTTCTGCACCGTACGCTGGCCCAGACGGACCAGGTAGGCACCGATGCCAACACTGCGGCCGCAGGCGTACGTCAGCGTAAACACGTCCTGATAGGCGCGAGACGTTTCGCCGGCAATCGTACCACTACCGCGCAGACACTCCACACCAAGATCGATCTCGCGACCGACGATGTCGTTCAGCACATAGCGTTCTTCACCCGTGCTGGTGACCAGCAGTTTAGCGTTAACGGAGCCCTCGGCCGACGCAACCTTGTAATCCTCAGGCGTCAAGTACAGGTACTCAAAGCCCTTAATGGGGTTGGTCTCGTCTTTCCAGCATACCTTATACAGCGCCTTGATGGACTCAGCCATGCCGATGCGAGCACCAGCATTGGCCGAGAAGAAGAAGCGAGGAATGCCCTTCGAACGAGCCAGCTTCGACGCCAGGTCGAACAACGTGTCCTCGCGGGTACCGAAGGAACCAGCCTTGAACGTGATGTCGTTAGCGATAATGATGATCTCACGTCCATCCTGGAACTCCGGCGTGTACAGCGTCAGCAGCCACGCCACCATACCGATGTCGTTCTGGCCGCGCAGACGCGTCGTCTCCGTCAGCGCCTTGCCCGTCGCGTCCAGGATCAGTTCACGCGTCTCCATCAACAAGTTCGGGATGGTGATCTTGGAGCCGCCACCGCGCGTACGCTGCTGCACGTACTTGCGCCACTGACGCAGCAAGTTGTACTCGATGAGCTCCAAGAAGTCGTACACATACACCGTGTTGGACATGGCCTTGGCCATCTGACGCTTCTTGTCGAACGGGAATACCACCGGATACGGCGTCGTGACCGGCATGCCGTCCAGCTCGCCGTGCGTCTCGTCACCGATCGACGTAAAGATAGGCTCATCGTGGCCAGCAGCCTCGACGTACGCCTGCACGCGCACCACGTAACCGGTCGGGTTCTCAGCCACAAGACGCACCGGGATTGCCGGCGCCTCGCTGTTGAAGCGAGCGATGATCTTGAGTTCTACCGTGGACACACCCAGCTGCTCCAGACGCTCAGCGTAGCGGTACGCGAGGATACGGATCACACCCTCCAGGTACTGTGGGTCTACAATGGCCTGAGGCAGGATGTTCAAGTACACGTGGTTGTTCTTGGTCGGCAGCGACGACTTCTTAACCAGAGGGTTGGACAGGTTCACTTCCAGAGCGTTCAGTGCATCGACTAGCGAGCGCTCGGGGCCCGGGTAGGCATCGTACTGAGAGCGCGAGCCGCTGCCATCGTGGTCGAGTTGCCGCACCACAGCACGCACGAAGATGCGCTGGAAGCGGTCGGTAATAATGTGCGCGTCCGAATCCTTCATCTTGGCCAGATACAGGTGAACGTTCTTGTTCTCCGACGCCAAAGGCGTGACGCTGTAGTTCTGCAGACGACGCAGTTCCAGCTTGTACGCCAGCGGGGCCTCCATGTGACGCAAGATCTTGTCCTCGCTGTAGTTCATACGACCAGGGAACGTGTATATGTTCGGGTACAGCGCCATGTCCGCGTTGTGCACTGAGATGTCCTCGATGTTCTGTGGACGCACCGAGAACGTCACACGACGGATGTTGTGCGCGCGCAGGTCCACGTCCACCGACTTAAGGTACGCCTCAGCCTGTTCCAGGAGCTTCGACTCCTCTGAGTGCTCGTCCACCAAGATGACGTGCAGAACGTTCACAAGGGGGTCCTTGCGCACCGAAAGCGTCTTTTTAGCCAGCGGGAAGAGCGACATGACATCGGTAAACGACTTCTGGAAAGTCTCAAGATTCGCAAGACGAGCAATAGCGCCGTGACGTTCGAAACTGGGTGAGATCTTCTGGTAGCTCTCGACCGGCTTGGCCAGCGGCTTCTCCGCCGGCTCCTGTTCCTCGCTGCTCTCCTCTGAGTTTTGTTCTCCCAAGTCCAGCGAGCTGGCAGAGCTGTTGCGACGCAGAAGACTCGCCAAATCATCGTAGCTCTCAGCAGGGGCAACACCGACAGCCAGCGCGTCGACAACTGGCGACTTGAACTGGAACGTCTTGGCGAAGATGTCGTTGAAGCTCATGGTCTCCATCGACTCGATAAGGTACGAGCGGTAAACACGCAGCGCATACAGCTCTAGCGCCAACTCGCGGATCTTCTGGTCTTCATGGTCGAGAAGCGAAATGAGCAGGTCAAAGAGCGGCTGCGACTGGTCCAGCAGGTTCGCACAGGCTTCAGCGAGGTTCGTGGATGAGCCGTTGGCGATGTAGTCCTTGAGGACCTTCTCCACTTGACTGAGACGGTCGCGGTACGACGGCATCTTGTTATCAATCAGAAGCTGACGCGCCTCCAGAGCCACCAGCGAGTACTGCTTCTCCTTGAACGTCGCGAGTTTCTCGAGCAACGGCACAAACGAAGCAGACTTCATCGACTTGCGCGGAGTCACAGCCGTGCCGCGAGCCATCTGAGCCAGAAGCTGCAGCAACAGCTTGTTCTTGGCCTCTAGAGCCTTGTGCGAGCGCGCGATAGAGAATACCTTGTTCAAGTCTGCCGAGTTCTGCTGACGCAGAGCCATCACCACATCCTCAATGTTGTGTGAGTTAGCGTACACCGTCTCTACGGTGAAGTATTCGTTGATCAGCTCAGTCAGAACCGCCTCCTCACCAGAAGCCAAGCCGTGCTTGTACTTGGTCGTGATGTCGCGGAGAGCCACCACAGACGCCTCAAAGTCCGAGCGCTTACGGTCCGTGTCTAACGTCTTCTTGTGCTCGTCCAGAATGTCAGCAATCTCAGCGGCGTTAAACTCGTGGGCAGCCGTAGGGTCCTCAGCCACAGCCTTCTTAAACGTCTGGATCTTGTCCGTGATCTTCGCGAACACGTCAAGCGGGATACGACCAGCTAGCGACGACATGGCTTCCCTGATCTCCTCAACAGGCAGCAGAGGCTCGTTGAGCACCTGGAACAAGTCGACCAAGGCCTTCTGTGTAAGATCCTCGGGCGCGTAGTAGCCCTGCAGCACGCATTTCAGCACAGCGAGCGACTTGCGCATCTTGTGCACCGACTTAGTACTGCTACCGTTCGTGTTCTCCGCGGACGGCAGCTTGCCCATGAACACGTCCGATTTCTTGACACAGGACGGGTCATCCAGCTCCATTGTCGCGATGCAGTCGCCAGGGGCCAAGACCGCGCCCTCCGACTTGAGTAGACGGATAACACCGGCTTCCGGAGTCAGTAGCGGCATGTACATCTTCATGACTTCGATCTCAGCATACGGCATGCCGCGACGCAGACTGGCACCATCGTCCACCAGGTAACGCGCGAGC